CCGAAAAAAGTCATAAGCCACGTCCGCGGATCCGTGAAACCGCTCTACAGTTTTGCTTAGAGGCTTCTCCGATCCTTATAGTCACCTCTGCGTCGCACTCGTGGCGAAGCTCGCGTAGAGCAGCCTCTATTCTTCTAGTTGCTCTCGATGATGAAACTTTTCGTCTGAATAAAGAAACAACGAGTTGGTCGTTTTATGGAAAGCGATTTATGTAAATAGCAACAACGACTTAGACAGCGAATAGAGCGCGCAAAATCAATGAAGTGGACAATACTTCCTAGTAAGCTTCACAAAAGTAGGCTCCAAAAAGTGCAATACCGGTAGAGGTTTGAAAGGGATACCGTACTTTTCAGTTAGTTCAGTACCGGTAATTAATAACGGTCTTCCTGCAATAATCCTGGTAACATGTTATCTTGAAGAGCTGCAAGCCACCACCGCCACACGAATGATAATGGAAGCGTTCGTGTGGCGGTGGTGGCTTGCAGCTCTTGTTGTCATCTAATCTTTTTATCTGGGTAATCCTGGTCTTCTTTCGCCACGGCGGCCAGCGCAGCACACTCCACAGCAGACACCAGGGCCTCAGCGACTGCAGCGACCTGCATCACCTCGACGGCATCAGCCCTGTCCGTTGTCTCCGGCTCAGTCGTATCGGGCTCTGTCGTATCGGCCGCAACCGTCTCGAGCTCAACCGCCTCGGGCTCAGTAGGCTCAGGCTCCACCGTCTCGACTGTCGGTACGGCTTCAGCAGTGGCCACCGACGCAGCTTCGAATACGGCCCGAAGAGCCTCTTCCACCGCGTCCTGCACTTCCGCCACCACGTCGGCCTCCTCAACGCCACCCACCGCAGCTTCGGGTTCTGTCGCCACCTCTGCCGTTTCCGGCACCTCGGTCTCGACCGGCACGTCGATTGCGACTTCATCAACGATGGCGGTGACCGCTTCTTTCGCCACGGCGGCCAGCGCAGCACACTCCACAGCAGACACCAGGGCCTCAGCGACTGCAGCGACCTCCATCACCTCGACGGCATCAGCCCTGTCCGTTGTCTCCGGCTCAGTCGTATCGGGCTCTGTCGTATCGGCCGCAACCGTCTCGAGCTCAACCGCCTCGGGCTCAGTAGGCTCAGGCTCCACCGTCTCGACTGTCGGTACGGCTTCAGCAGTGGCCACCGACGCAGCTTCGGATACGGCCCGAAGAGCCTCTTCCACCGCGTCCTGCACTTCCGCCACCACGTCGGCCTCCTCAACGCCACCCACCGCAGCTTCGGGTTCTGTCGGCACCTCTGCCGTTTCCGGCACCTCGGTCTCGACCGGCACGTCGATTGCGACTTCATCAACGATGGCGGTGACCGCTTCTTTCGCCACGGCGGCCAGCGCAGCACACTCCACAGCAGACACCAGGGCCTCAGCGACTGCAGCGACCTCCATCACCTCGACGGCATCAGCCCTGTCCGTTGTCTCCGGCTCAGTCGTATCGGGCTCTGTCGTATCGGCCGCAACCGTCTCGAGCTCAACCGCCTCGGGCTCAGTAGGCTCAGGCTCCACCGTCTCGACTGTCGGTACGGCTTCAGCAGTGGCCACCGACGCAGCTTCGGATACGGCCCGAAGAGCCTCTTCCACCGCGTCCTGCACTTCCGCCACCACGTCGGCCTCCTCAACGCCACCCACCGCAGCTTCGGGTTCTGCCGGCACCTCTGCCGCCTCCGGCACCTCGGTCTCGACCGGCACGTCGATTGCGACTTCATCAACGATGGCGGTGGCCGCTTCTTTCGCCCCTGCGGCCAGCGCAGCACACTCCACAGCAGTCACCAGGGCCTTAGCGACTGCAGCGACCTCCATCACCTCGACGGCATCAGCCCTGTCCGTTGTCTCCGGCTCAGTCGTATCGGGCTCTGTCGTATCGGCCGCAACCGTCTCGAGCTCAACCGCCTCGGGCTCAGTAGGCTCAGGCTCCACCGTCTCGACTGTCGATACGGCTTCAGCAGTGGCCACCGACACAGCTTCGGATACGGCCCGAAGAGCCTCTTCCACCGCGTCCTGCACTTCCGCCACCACGTCGGCCTCCTCAACGCCACCCACCGCAGCTTCGGGTTCTGCCGGCACCTCTGCCGTCTCCGGCACCCCGGTCTCGACCGGCACGTCGATTGCGACTTCATCAACGATGGCGGTGACCGCTTCTTTAGCCACGGCGGCCAGCGCAGCACACTCCACAGCAGACACCAGGGCCTCAGCGACTGCAGCGACCTCGATCACCTCGACGGCATCAGCCCTGTCCGTTGTCTCCGGCTCAGTCGTATCGGGCTCTGTCGTATCGGCCGCAACCGTCTCGAGCTCAACCGCCTCGGGCTCAGTAGAGTTTTCAGGCTCCCCGTTCTCCAATGTCGGAAGCGGCTTCAGCAGTGGGCCACCGAAGCAGCTTCCGATAACGGCTCGAAAAGGCCTCTTTCTACGCGTCCTGCAACTCCGCCACCACGTCGGCCTCCTCAACGCACCCAACCGCAGCTTCAGGTTCTGCCGGCACCTCTGCCGCCTTCCGGCACCTCGGTCTCGACCGGCACGTCGATTGCGACTTCATCAACGATGGCGGTGGCCGCTTCTTTCGCCCCTGCGGCCGGCGCAGCACACTCCACAGCAGACACCAGGGCCTTCAGCGACTGCAGCGTTCTTCCATCACCTCGACGGCATCAGCCCTGTTCGTTGTGCTCGCGGTCTCACTCAAATCTGGCTTCTGTCGTATCGGCCGCAACCGTCTCGAGCTCAACCGCCTCGGCTCAGTAGGCTCAGGCTCCACCGTCTCGACTGTCGGTACGGCTTCAGCAGTGGCCACCGACGCAGCTTCGAATACGGCCCGAAGAGCCTCTTCCACCGCGTCCTGCACTTCCGCCACCACGTCGGCCTCCTCAACGCCACCCACCGCAGCTTCGGGTTCTGCCGGCACCTCTGCCGTCTCCGGCACCTCGGTCTCGACCGGCACGTCGATTGCGACTTCATCAACGATGGCGGTGACCGCTTCTTTCGCCCCTGCGGCCAGCGCAGCACACTCCACAGCAGACACCAGGGCCTCAGCGACTGCAGCGACCTCCATCACCTCGACGGCATCAGCCCTGTCCGTTGTCTCCGGCTCAGTCGTATCGGGCTCTGTCGTATCGGCCGCAACCGTCTCGAGCTCAACCGCCTCGGGCTCAGTAGGCTCAGGCTCCACCGTATCGACTGTCGGTACGGCTTCAGCAGTGGCCACCGACGCAGCTTCGGATACGGCCCGAAGAGCCTCTTCCACCGCGTCCTGCACTTCCGCCACCACGTCGGCTTCCTCAACGCCACCCACCGCAGCTTCGGGTTCTGTCGGCACCTCTGCCGTCTCCGGCACCTCGGTCTCGACCGGCACGTCGATTGCGACTTCATCAACGATGGCGGTGACCGCTTCTTTCGCCACGGCGGCCAGCGCAGCACACTCCACAGCAGACACCAGGGCCTCAGCGACTGCAGCGACCTGCATCACCTCGACGGCATCAGCCCTGTCCGTTGTCTCCGGCTCAGTCGTATCGGGCTCTGTCGTATCGGCCGCAACCGTCTCGAGCTCAACCGCCTCGGGCTCAGTAGGCTCAGGCTCCACCGTCTCGACTGTCGGTACGGCTTCAGCAGTGGCCACCGACGCAGCTTCGAATACGGCCCGAAGAGCCTCTTCCACCGCGTCCTGCACTTCCGCCACCACGTCGGCCTCCTCAACGCCACCCACCGCAGCTTCGGGTTCTGTCGCCACCTCTGCCGTTTCCGGCACCTCGGTCTCGACCGGCACGTCGATTGCGACTTCATCAACGATGGCGGTGACCGCTTCTTTCGCCACGGCGGCCAGCGCAGCACACTCCACAGCAGACACCAGGGCCTCAGCGACTGCAGCGACCTCCATCACCTCGACGGCATCAGCCCTGTCCGTTGTCTCCGGCTCAGTCGTATCGGGCTCTGTCGTATCGGCCGCAACCGTCTCGAGCTCAACCGCCTCGGGCTCAGTAGGCTCAGGCTCCACCGTATCGACTGTCGGTACGGCTTCAGCAGTGGCCACCGACGCAGCTTCGAATACGGCCCGAAGAGCCTCTTCCACCGCGTCCTGCACTTCCGCCACCACGTCGGCCTCCTCAACGCCACCCACCGCAGCTTCGGGTTCTGTCGCCACCTCTGCCGTTTCCGGCACCTCGGTCTCGACCGGCACGTCGATTGCGACTTCATCAACGATGGCGGTGACCGCTTCTTTCGCCACGGCGGCCAGCGCAGCACACTCCACAGCAGACACCAGGGCCTCAGCGACTGCAGCGACCTCCATCACCTCGACGGCATCAGCCCTGTCCGTTGTCTCCGGCTCAGTCGTATCGGGCTCTGTCGTATCGGCCGCAACCGTCTCGAGCTCAACCGCCTCGGGCTCAGTAGGCTCAGGCTCCACCGTCTCGACTGTCGGTACGGCTTCAGCAGTGGCCACCGACGCAGCTTCGGATACGGCCCGAAGAGCCTCTTCCACCGCGTCCTGCGCCACCACGTCGGCCTCCTCAACGCCACCCACCGCAGCTTCGGGTTCTGTCGGCTCCGAAATTTTGGTCTCTGCGTGCGTTGCGGTAACAATTTCATGTTCTACTTCAGTTGTGCGCTTGGACAGGGTGCTTAACTTCTCACTACAATCACCTGCGCCTGAGCTTAGAGACACATCATCCGCAGTCTGATCCACTGCATCTACCACTTCGTTCGATACGGTGGACGACTTATCTATGTCCACTTGCAACTCTAACCGTTGTGACACCTTACAGACGGTCTCGGTCAGCATCGCTTTGACGGAGAGAGCTACAGCAGTAGCCGTGGTTACAGTTAAATGGTTATCAGTATCCTCATCATTGTTGTCAACAGCTGGGCTTTGTGGGAATGATGGCTCCCTTTTTTCGGCGTGTTCATCAAATTTACGATCAACAGAATCATTCCCGGGTAACAGAGTATACAATTTTCCCCTTGCTTCGGTTTCAGCCAGTGCAGCAGAGATCCCACGGGCTGCAATTCGTTCGCAAGCGTCGCGATCACGACTCCAGTCCATCAAAAGCGTCGGCTCCTCTTGGCTCTGGTTTGGCAGCTCAACAAACTCGAGCTCGTCGGCTGCTCCCTCCACATAATTCTGCTGAGAATACTCCGGCTCATCTTGACTGGGAGCTCCTCGTAATTGTGGCAGATCAGTCTCATCGTCCTCACTCTTTCGGTCTTCCGGCTCAAACGCTTGTTGATCTTCTTCATACGTATCTTCTAGGGGCAAGGTCCCATCGCCCTCTTTCAATGGTGAAACAAACCCAATCTCTTCTATAATCGGGACTTCTTCGGTCGGTACCGAAGTAACGTCGTCGAAACTGCGGAATCTTGATTCATCGTGTACAACGTCGATGTTCTCGGGGATAAGTTCATTTTCTTTTTCCTCCACGAGACCAAGAGCCTCGATTGGCGACGCAGCGTCTGGTATTTCTTCCAGTATTGATTCTTCGTTAAACGTGTCCGGTTCCGCCTCTTTCTTGTAAGGAGAGTCTTCTGTGCCCGACAGGACTAGATTCTCTTGGCATGGACCTTCCTCTTGTTCGCTCTGATTCTTTGCTGGTGCCTTCTCAGAGCCAACGTTCAGTGGCTCCAACAATGGAATGGAAGGGGAACGCACATTTGGGTCCAGCTTTGAGAGGAGGTTCCGATCTCCTCGAGCAGACACCGTCACCTCAACCTTAGCCTGCGACTTTTTCTCTTTCTTCTGTCCCACGGTTAATGCACGCGATTTCTTGTACCCAGAAGACGGCAATTTTGGAGCATCCGCTTTGGAATCAGCTACTTGTGGGGCTCTCCGAGAGGTGGATATCCTGGTCACATCCTTAACAGCAGCAGTCTGCCTTTCGGGACGGGTATCACGAGAAATTTGTGTAGTTTCACTTGCAGCATGCGAGGCCATGGCAAGACTCCGCTCATACATCGAGGACTCGGCGATTTGAATCATCTTGTGGAGTTTGTCGGAGAAACTCATGCGGTTGAGTCCGGGAGACTTGGATGCAGTCTGGGCGAGCAACGACGATATCCGAGCTTCTTCCTTGAGTAGCTGTTGCGCAAACTCGCGCAATTCGGCCATCGATTGATCCATCTCTGTCAGGTCGGAAGAGCTACTACATGTAGTTCCTGCAGGAGGCCCACTGACAGCTTCAGGGTGTTGTTCTTGATTCGTCGTATCATCTTCAACGACAAAAGTACTAGAGCCAAACGAGTCTGTCTTTCGACTGCGTGGAGTCCTGCGTGCAGTCTTCGACGTTCGAGGCGAATGTCGTTCCGGTTTTCTTTTTCCCGGGTCCTGTATCCTGCGTCCTTGTTGGTTGATAGGATCGGTCAGTTTTGTCACGACAACAGCAGTCTGTGGACGCAGGTTGCCAGTGCTCATACTAGATTCCATAGGCCACGCATCATCTCCGCTTCCCCACTCCGCAGAACTTGCAGGGGAGATTTTTACGCGCTCGTTCACTAGTGGAGTAAGACGCGCGGAGTGTGGGCGAGTCGGTGTCTTGGATACGATCGGTTGCTCCAGAGAGTGGCTGGTTGAAAGTGGCGGAGGGATGACGAAGGTCACTGCATCTGCCCCCAAGTAGTTGTTCTTCAACGGACTAAAGCGGCTACGCGAGCTCTCACGAGAGAGACCCCTGTCAACAGCACCAGCTGATCGCTGGGTCTTTAACGCTGTAGGCGTATGACCATACGTTTTCATGAGCAGTCGATCGCGGTGTTCATTACCGTTTTTCCGTCGCTTCATCTCCCCTGCTCGCTGGATATGTTCATCTCGACTGCGCGGAGGAGGCAGTCGTGAGGGTTTCGGGGTCAGGCTTCGAGTGTCGTCCAGTAGCTTCACTGGAGACGTGAAGAAAGACGGGCCCGGCGCGCCTCCAAGAGAACTTGACATCTGTCCAAACGAACGCATATTGCTCGGCCCTGGGATTCCTGAGGACGTACTGGGACGGCTGGCAGGAGACTTGGGTCGACGACGACCAGTTGACTTTTGCCCCGACTCGCCTCTCCTGCTAGTTGGTCGTGGTGATGTGTCGCGGTTCCGACTGCTCAAAGCTGTAGCCACAGGGGATCGCTCTCGCTTCGTTGGCTGTGCTGGTGTCGGACTTAACAGAGACATGTGCTCGTCCAGGATGATACGAGCCTTTTCATGGACACTTTTGGACGGTGAGCGACTCAAACTGGTTTCCGCGATCTCTCGCAGTGCGGCGGTGGAAAATCGGATAATTCCTGCAAGACGGCACAACGTACCGGTTAAAAAACTACATGTAGTGGAAGTTTTTAGAAAATAATGCAGCTTCGATACCTTCGTCGACGGGGTACTTTGCCATGACCAGTGAGATATCTGCGATGGCTCCATACTCACGTAAATCGGCGGCCGCGGCTGAACTATTTGACGCAAGACTAGACGTTGGGGGACAAGCGAAACACGCCCTGTGTGTTAGATCTTGCCTTGGATTTTTTTTATATATTAGAAATCACTTACCACAGTAACAGACTGCAGAACGAACACGTCACTTTCTTATCTTCGCGAGCCATACTCTGTTGGATGAGCGACACAGCTAGCTGGATTGGAGACTCGGTCGTTCGCTGACGATCAGGGGTGATCAGAGAAGCAACCGTCGATGACCCACCGTAGTCACATAATTCAGTCAAAACTGGCAAAAGGAGTCAGCAATGAAGACAAGTAGCGTACGTCCGCTTGCCACCGCACCTTCACACGCATAGATCTGGACTTGGCGCGTGAGATTCGAGTACTCGCGATGGATCTCCAGCGACGCGAGCACCAGTTTGAGAATGCTCGGCTCGTTTATCGCTAGCATCTCGTTCTTACTGCCGTCACTGCTCTGTGTTAACACGGCAAGACATCCACATGCCGACGCCTGCAGGATGGCGTCCTCGGGGAAGCTCAGCAGCGCCTGAGCCACAGTGGAGATGATGCCGTGCTGGACAAACAGCTCGACGGACTCGACACTGAGATGACACAACTTACGCATGAGGACGCAGCCGTAACACAGCAGAACCGCGTGCGACGAGTGCGTCTGGATCGTGTCGAGCAGGAGCAACTCGCCGCTCTGCTCGTGGATGCACTCGGCAGTTATCTGAGGCGCGGATCGGATCACGCGGAGCAGCAGCGACAACGAGTTTTTCTGCAAAACCCAAATAAATAATTCGGACATTTTATGATACGAGCGCATTGTACTTACCACGGACACGGCGTCCGCTTCGACTGACGTGATCGCCTCTAAGATTTCTGTCACCTGCTTCTGCGTCTGAACGACCGAGTCGCTCAAGTCTCGTTGTCGACGTGAAGATGCTGCTGATGGTTTTTGCGACGCTCGTGTCGAGTGAGGAGACGCTTGACGTCCTTTCATGCTCTCGGCCGTCCGCGCTCTACGTTGTGTCGTCCGCTGGTTCTCTGTCTTTGGGGCGGGGCCCTTCTCCTCTAACACGCGGTTTCGCATGACTCGTTGTTGCTGTGGAGGCACTTTGAAGAATGGCTGACTCTTGGCAGACTCGAGTGACGCTTGGATGCTAACCGTCAGTTGTGGTGGTTTCCCATGTCCCCATGATCGTCTTTTGTCTCGACAATCCTCGTGGAATCCGCAACACAATACGCTTGGTGTGTGGTCTGCTCCTCATTGTCGCGCTGATGCACTGATTCAGCGCCAAGTGGCCGGCATCGCCGCGGTTATTTTGCAAATTGTGTGTCGGACACCACTCAAGGGGAAAGTATCTTTTCCCTTGCATTCGCCAATTAGCCGAGTGACCACCATGTCGTCGTCTCCAGCGGTCAAGTACGCGCGGTACAAGCGCGCCACAGCCTTCTTTCTCGACTGGCTTCTGCGTGCACGCGGTGGAGGTCGGCATGCTGGCCAACGTGTGCAGCTGGAGGCGCTCAACGACGTGGTGAAGGAGATCGCGGCAGATCCATCGACACTCACGCCAAAGCTTCTACAGCAACTGCCCAAAGCCCTCGCCGCCTGCCAATACGCCATCACACTGCGTGAGTATGTGGCTTCATTCTTTTCGGAGGATAAAGTTGGTGCACTTGTTCATGGAACTGGACGAACTGTTGGAAGGTGTATACAAGGTATACAGTGGAGTGAAACAGGAGAAGCGGTCATTGGTGGAGGCAACGGTAGTAGTGAAGCTGGCTATGGACACAGCCAGCGCACTGACAGTGAGACTCCAGATACGGTACCCGTCGCTGCGGTCGGCATAAGACATGTTCAATAGCTCGCCGAAGAACTTCCAACAGAAGATTCTGGATCTCCACAACTCGATCATGATGGAGATGAATCGGTCTCTAGGTGAAAGCGGAGCGTCTGGGAATTACCTGATGAAGTACGTGCCAGGAACCTTCCTGCTAGAGCTGCTAAGCGTGGGTATAAATCTGGATGCTGTGCCCCGAACAATGCGACAAAACGCGTGTATTTTGAAGACGTATCTTAAGGTGAACCCTATGGAAGAGATGAGGATGCCGAATTACATTTACTCTCGGAAATCAACAACAAGGTCTTCCTGTTGCAACAGATGCCGTTGCAGTACACAACGCTATTGTCGAGAAGAGACCCCAGGCGGGAACTGGGTTTGGATCGTCCGATACGTTCATGGAGATTATGGAAAAGCTCTTTACAACGCGGGAAGTGTCAATTCCTGTGGTGTTAACGTGCATCTGCTGGATGAAATCAGTGACTGCGCTCCAAGGACTTACTTTCCTCGGCCGCAACATGAACCTTACGTCCAAACACTCGAAAGACTCGCTAAAAAACGTCAAAGCGCTGCTCGCGTACAACAAAGCCAACGCTCTCCTACAGCGGTGCTCTACATACATACATGTACAGTAGACTATTTGCTTCCAGCACTTAACCCGTTGTTCGCTGGGCTTTCGATGCTGAACCATCAGTTCCAGTATTTTACATCGCGAACGAAGTTCTGTTCGCAACGTCGAGGTTTCGAGCCTTTGGTCACTTGTGCGATGCGCTGATGCACGAGGGACATCTAGAGCGTATCTTGTTTTTCGACGATGTGTACGTTCAAGAAGTATTCTCCCCGTTTCGAGCTGCGGTACGTACAGTCGCACTTACCTGCTGAGCTCAAACCTGCGAGTCAACTTAATCGACGCAGTGTACCGTGGCGAGCCCCAAGTGAAGCGTAAGGGAAGCACAAAGCGCTCCACTTGAGCGATGTCTCGGAGATATTTCCACTGCTTCGGCTGAACGACAAATCCGAGTTGAAGGGTGGGCCGGAGAAGGAAATGCTGGACGGCGTGGTGAATACATGCTCGAGAGAGCTGTTTGAGACGTGTGTGCTGTCACGCGACTTGCAAAAGCTGAACGAAGATTTTATGGATACGATTCCCGAGCTGATTAAGTCCTGGGTCAGCAGGCGTACTTTATGGCAGTGGCGGGGCGCCCAATTGCTGGCGAGTCGGGGCAACAGCGCGTTAATCGTGCTCTAGAGGAATCGGTGATAAAGGTAATTATGCCGCTGTTGGATGCCTTGCTGCCCGATGGACGGATTGACAAGACTGCGATCCCACGCAAAGCCGTATCGGATGAAGTGCTCGCGAAGGAAATGTGCAAGAGGGTTGCAAATGTGATCAAAACGAGATTTACAGTTCCTTCTGGCATCTGTGAGCAAAAGTATTTTACTTTTTCGTCTCAACCTGACTTCGCGACTTAAGAATATGGCGTGATCTCGTGGAAAGAGGACCGAATCATGACAATATCGACCAAGTGTTTGCTGACCTGATGAAGCTGCTGATGGAAAGCGATGGCCCCTTGTCTGCGACTGAAATGGCCTACGTCAAGTCAGAAATCAAGGAGAATTACGATCTCTTGGGTATTGTGGCTCCAACCACCGAATCCGCGTATGATGAGTTTTGTACGCTGCTGCATTTGGCGGCTGTAGGGCCTGCGCACGATATGGAGCTAGTGGAATGGATGATCCAGTTGGGAGCGTTTATTGTCCAGCCGCTTCACTGTCGGATGGAGCTGCGTATAAAAGACTTGACTTGTCCTAGCACGTTTTTGCCGAACACGATGGCTGTGCACACTGTGCACTGCACAGTGCCGCCATCGCGGGTCATGCCGACATCGTTCGGGTTCTTTTGACAGCGGACAATATGGTGGATTTAAACACGAGCACGTTCCACACGAATGAATCTCTTGCTCACTTGGCTGTCAGACATGGACAACGGGAAGTTTCCGACACGCTTAACGGGTTCAAAATCAACCTTCGCACCACCGATGACCAAGGCACTTCGCATCTGTGACATTTCAATTTATCAACGTGAGCGTGTGAAATCGCTGCATCCACCCAATATTACTACTACAACTCGCTGGATGATAAAAAGAAACGTGGAGCATTCTTCCGAGCCGAAGAAGAGGAACACCGCGGTCTTCAAAAGAAAAGAGCGACGAAAACACCAGCATGAACGACGATTCTGGACGTGATGGAGAAACGTCTCATGAAGACTCCGATGACTAAGCGCGACCCATCTACGTTCCGAGAGCTCGTGCAAATGTACTCTAAGGCTCGTGTTGTGATGGGCTTGGGCCAAACGTCGGGCCTAGACGCGTTTCATTGTTTGGAATGGTATTGAGCGATGTGGCCGACAGCTACGAGACTCAGGTGGCTCTCGATGGAATGGTAGGACGCTCGTTGTTCTGTGAGTGCAAGCTAGCCCCCAACACAGCGGCTCAGCATCGATCGGCGCTGCATCGTGTCGCTGGAGTCATCCCTTCCTTCTATTCGAATCTCAATGCGTTTGCGTTCATGGGCAAAGGAGACAAGTGCGCTCTCTACGGCGGCGACAGCGAAGACGATGTGGCGAAGGCGCGTATGGTACTGTACGCGGCTTTCAACATGATAGGACTGGAGTTTGATATGGAAAGCTTGCAACCGCTATCCATGTTGGAGGCTTTGAGATTTCATCTGATGGGGCTTTTCGAGCTGCTTGAAGTGAATCTGAGAATGACACACCAGCTGTGACCAAAAATATTACTGTAAGAACTGCTGAAACATGGATTACAATTTCGTGCATAGCTTTTCACTCTCGCTTCTACTGCAGTAGTACAAGTACTTCGTGGTACAGTTCCGGTACACTACTTTAGACTGCTTCACTTTTGGTGTACCACACCAACTACTCTTCGCCATTAATTCGACAATGTACTTCGATGTCGTCGTTTCCGGCGGGCAAGTACGCGCGCTACAAGCGCGCCACAGCCTTCTTTCTCGACTGGCTACTGCGTGCACGCGGTGGAGGTCGGCATGCTGGCCAACGTGTGCAGTTGGAGGCGCTCAACGACGTGGTGAAGGAAATCGCAGCGGACCCATCGACACTCACGCCAAAGCTTCTACAGCAACTGCCCAAAGCCCTTGCTGCATGCCAATACGCCATTACACTGCGTGAGCATGTGGCTTCATTCTTCCCTGAAGATGATGAGGGTCAAGTGGGTCACCAGTATTTCCTGGAGTTGCTGCAGGGTTGGCATCGCACGCTTCGAGGAGTGGAAGTAGAGACACCCCCAGAGCTCGCGGATTTGCAGTTGGAAAACTCCAAACTTGAGAATTACTATGAAGTGTTGCAAGTGGATGAGGACTATTCCCCAGACGAGTCATCCTTCGTACCTGAGAAAGACGCTCCAAAGACTGCTAAGGTGGACAGGGAGCGTCTTTTTGAAGAGGCCTTCGCGGACGAGCTGAGGATGGAGTTGGTGTACTTGTTCATGGAGCTGGACGAACTGCTGGAAGGTGTATACAAGGTCTACAGTGAAGTGAAACAGGAGAAGCGGTCATTGGTGGAGGCGACGGTAGTAGTGAAGCTGGCTATGGACACAGCCAGCGCCCTGACAGCGAGACTCCAGTTACGGTACCCATCGCTCCGGTCGGCACAGGACATGTTTAATATCATAAGAAACAGCCAACTCAAAACGTTCAGGAAGAAGATAGTGGATCTTCACTCGAACATCATGAAAGAACTCCAGAAGTCGATCAAAAATATCGGAGAACCTGGAAACTACCTGGCTAAGTATGTGCCTGGCACGTTTTTGATCGAGCTGCTGAGTGTGGGTACAACGCTGGATGGCGTGCTCTCAGCTACCCCCATGGATATCACAAAGACGATGTTCTTTCAGGACGGCGCTTTCGGCGAAACCTACGGTGAAGACCGCACGCCAACGTACGTGCTGCTTCCAGAAACTAACAAGAACAAGGTCTTCCTGCTGCAGCAACTGCCGCTGTTGTATAACGCAATTGTCGAGAAGAGACTTCTAACCGGGTCTGGATTTGATTCATTGGCACCTATGGGGACGTTTATGGCACTGATTGATAAATTCTACACTACCCGAGAGGTGAGTATTCCTGTGGTGTTTGCGTGCATTTGCTGGATGAAATCCGTGGCTGCTCTGCAAGGTCGTCGATATCTGAGTCGCAACGTGAGTCTTACGTTCTTGCACTCGAAGGAGTTGCTCAAAAACATGGAAGCTGCAGTGGCAAGCAACAAAGCGGTACTCGCATTCAACAAAGCCAACAGTTTACTAAATCGATGCGCTACCGACATAAAACAGTGGTCTAGCGCTCACCATTTAGCACGGGCGAACCCGGTCATTGCTGGTCTTACGATGCTGAATCATCACTTCCAGTACCTACACATCGCGAACGAAGTCATGTTTGCAACGTCGAGATTCCGTGCATTTGGGCACTTGTACAACGCGCTAGTGCAGGAGGGGTATCTGGAGCGTATCCCGTTTTTCGACGAGGTGTACGAGGTGTACGCACAAGAAGTCTTCACTCCTTCTCGTGCTGCGGCGATACATGGAGCATACTATCGCACCTACCTGCTGAGCTCAAATGTGAGGGCCACTTCACTTGATGCAGTGTACCGTGGTGAAAAATTACTCCCTGGAAGTGAAGCGTACAAGAAGTGGAAGGCTTTCCATCTAAGTGATGTGTCCGAGGTATTCCGACTGATGCGTTTGAACGACAAGTCCATTTTAAAAGGTGGATCGTGGATGGAAATGCTGGATGATGTGGCAGACATTTGCTCGAAAGAACTCTTCGATACGCGTGTGTTGTCGCGTGACTTACTAAAGCTGAACGAAGACCTGATGGATGCGTTTTCAGAACTAACTCAGGTGTTGGGCCAGCAGGAGTATTTCCAGGAGATTATGGGGCGCCCAATCGCGGGCGAATCTGGCCAACAACGAGTTAATCGTGCCCTCGAAGATTCCGTCATGACGTTTGTAATGCCGCTGCTGGATGCATTGCAGCCTGACGAATCAATTGACATGTCTGCCATCCCCGAAGGAAAGCCGAGGATGCCTGCATTGAACGCTGGGTCGGTTCATATTGTATGCGGGGAAGTCGGAGCCATGATCAAAGCTAGATTTGCAACAGATGTCTGCGAGAAGAAATATTTTACATTCCCATTGCAGCCAGATTTTGCTACCCAGGAGTACGGGAAGCTATTGTTGGAGGAGAAGACGGAGAGTGAAGCTGGAGCTGCTAAGCTAGTGCTCGATGATCTGATGAAGTTGCTGAGTGAAAGTGACGGGCCTCTGACTGACAGTGATATGAGCTATCTCAAAGCAGAAATTAAGAAGAACCCCGATCTATTGGGAACTTTTACACCAACATCGGAGTATAATGATCTTTGTACGCTGCTGCATCAGGCTGCAGCTGGCCCAGCACATGATGCTGATCTCGTCGACTGGATGATTCAAATGGCTGCCCTCATTGTGCAGCCTCAGCATTGTCGGAATGAACCCCAACAAAAGGACCTATCGTGCCCTCGAAGTGTGTTGCCAAACACGATGGCTGTGCACAGTGCGGTGATCGCGGGCTACAAGGATATCGTTCGAGTTCTTTTGGAGGCGGACAACCTGATCGACTTGAATACCAAGACTTTCCACACGAAGGAATCTCTTGCACATCTGGCTGTCAGACATGGCCAACGTGAAGTCCTCGGCCTGCTTCAAGCCTTTAGGATTGATCTCAGCTGCACAGATGGCGAAGGAAGACGCGTGTGCGATGTGACGTTGGACCGAGAATGGTCCCGTGAAATTGCTGCATCCATGAAAAGCTACTATAAGAACACGTTGGCGGATGTAAAGAAACTCCGGTCCCAACAGGCAGAACATAGGCGGAACACTCAGCGTATTGAAAAGAACAAACGTGGAAGTAAACACAGCAGCACGAACTTAAATGGATCGAAGAGAAAGAGTAACAAGAAGGAGAAGAAGGAGACCGTGAAGGAAGAGTCGATAATTGCCACCGCTGCAGTATCATCGAGTACGAAGTCTGCAGAAGCGGCACGCATATATCTACGCATTTTGGATGCAGCTGGGGTAGAGGTCGACGAGACTTTTGAGTCCAGGAGGTTAACAGATCTGGAGAGAATGCTTCGAAGCAAGGCAACGTCTCTCTTCGACCAGCTGAAGGATTCGAGCGTTCCTGCCGGCGACAAAGTTGACACTGTAGAGAGCACCTGCAAACTGATCAAAGAGCTGCAATGGCTTGTCTCGAAACATGCTGACCCAAGCAACTCCACATTCCGCCACATCCGATCCGTTATCGCCACTGAAGCTTCTATTGGAGTCCACTTGATGCAAAAGTTTTGTCGTGCTGACCACCCCGCTATGTGGGTCGAAGAACTCGATCCGGTTCGGGATCTCTGCGTGATGACGAGTGATTTCGCAAAATTTGTCGTTTCGACGGCTCAAATTTGCGTCTCAGTGAACAGGAAACCACAGGCGCGTGAGATTTTGGATTTGCTGGAAAAACGATTGGTGAAGACGCCGCCTGGTCAACGGGACCCACCTCTGTTCCGAGAACTTGTTCAAACGTACGCTAAAGCGCGTGATGCGATGGGTTTGGGTCGGACTTCGAGTGCTGATACGCTTCGCAACTTGGAATGGTACTTTAGCGACGAGGCGGAGAGCTACGAACTGCAGATGATCCTTGATGAGCTGTCCGGTCGGCGATTTTACTTTGAATGCAGGCTAGCCGCCACCACAACTGCGCTACAGCTGGAGCAGTTAAAGCACATTATCCGAGAGTTTCCGATTCAGTTTCCCGAATGTACAGGGATTGCGTGCCTGGGCCATCATGACAAGCGCATTATCTATGGTAGCTACAGAAAAGAGCAGCTAGCTGATGTTCTTAAATTCGTCCTCGAGATTGTTTTCAAGCGCGTAGGTGCGAAGCATGACGACCAAAGCTTGCAACGCTGCGTAAGCTCTCTCCAGATTGGAAACTTCATTTTTTCGAAAGCTGGGATCCTTCGGGTTGATTGAAGAATATATGATGATGTAGAAAATATGACAAAGTGTTTGCTGAGTTAAAGGTTATCTACGATTATCTTGCTCAAATACTCGAGTGAACGACATGCCCAATAACCCAGTACTTTTATTACTATCAGAAAAAAAGCTACTATAGTGCTTCAAGTACTTCTTTGATCGGCAAAATTTGGCTGGAATTCGCATCACTCACGTCTAATTCCCATCACTTTTCATTTGATGAAATGTAAGGCTGCAACACAACGAGAACCAATGTAACAGCAGCGCAGGTATGATATACCTCCTTTTTATGATGCAATAACGACTGCTTCGATATATCAACCGTCGGCTTTCCGACACCATATTCATTTTCCTTGCCACTTACGCCGCCAGCACTTCAGTTAAACAATGAGAAATCGCCACTTGCTATCTTTTGATTGGTTAGAATATGAGCAGTAGCTCGCACTTGCCTATTTCAACCAATCATATTCTGTACGTCATTCTCGAAATTTCTCTTGTCGCCAAAGCTTCCAGCAACGTGGCAAGCCTGCACTAGACAGAATAAAAATACCCGATGATACGCCAAAACAACAAAGCAACTCGACACCATGAGTCACAGCTCCTCGCGCGTGCGTCTGCGACTGCTACTGGTGCTGCTGCTCGCTCTCGCCATAGTCTCCGTCCAGGCCATGGACCCCAGTAAGGACTATTATAAAGTTCTTGGCGTGAACGAGCAATTCTCGGACCGCGAACTTAAGAAGGCATACCGACAGCTAGCTCTACAGTACCACCCAGATAAGGCGGAGAATGCTGAGGATAAAGAAGCAGCCAAGGAGAAGTTCGTCGAAGTGTCGGAGGCTTACGAAGTATTGTCCGATTCGGAAAAGCGCAAAGAATACGATGACGCTCAACGCTTCGGGGGAGGCGCAGGTGGCGGATTCCCTGGCGGATTTGGTGGCCAGGGTGGCCAAAGACGCTCCACGGACGAGAACATGGCTTCATTCACGAAGATGTTCGAGAGCGTCTTTGGTCATGGATTTGGAGGCGCGGGAGGCTTTTCCGGTGGTGCTGGTGGCTTTGGAGGCGGATTTGGAGGCGGGTTCCCCGGGGGAGCGGGCTTTGGCGGACGTGGGATGCCCAACGAGTTTCAGTTCGATGGAATGGATGGCTTTGGACATGCTAAGCGACCAGGAGCACGTGGCCAGCAACAAGCGAGACAACCCACGACGTTGTATGGACCCGAGTCGCCTGTTAAAACGCTATCGAAGAAAAAGTTTCCAGGCAAAGCCGCGAACAACGAGTGGCTTGTACAGTTCTACGAGATGGACGCACCTATGGCCGAATTTCGCGGCAAGTATGAAAATGTGGCACGGGATCTGAACGGCAAAGTGCGTGTAGGTGCCGTGAACTGCGATAAGTACGCAAAACTGTGTCGTGCCAATGGCATCGCCAAGTTCCCGACGTTTGCGTACATTTGGGAAGGTCAACTCACCAAATTTGACGGTGAAGTTGACGAATATCAAGTGTATAATTTCGCTATTGAGAAGCATATCGCGCGTCTTCAACGTATGCGCAACTCGGGCGAGATTGAAAAGCTGCATGCTGGCAACGAGGCAAAGTTGTGTAATGTGGGCAAACATGCTACGTCGGGCGCGTCATCTCTGTGCGCCGTATTTGTCTTGTCGGGTGATAAGAAGAAGCGCGAGCAGGAGATGAAAGTGGCAAAGGAGGTTGCGAAGAAGTTCCGTCACTCAAAAAGTCTTAGCGTTGCGTATGTGGACTGGAAGACCCAGCAGCTTCCGGTGCGGAAGTTGGTCGAGACGGCTGTCGGCCACAGTCACAGACAGCAGCAACCAGGATTGCTGGTCATTCGTACGAAACGCGGTAAGACGCGGGTGGGCACCCATTCGCTGGATGCTGACTTCAATACCGATGCACTATCCGCTACTATGGAGCGTGCTGTTGGCGGTGATCTGTCGATGTCGAACGTGCATGGATCGGTGCATTTCCGCTGATTTGTGACGTGAAACCTTGAGTTTCGAGTTCAATTTCATTTTATAGAGTTCTTGTCGCTCTTATACAATACTACTAACGTTAGTAGTAGTTTAGCCTTGACTTTTCCATACTGCTGTAGTAAAATTCCAAGACCCACTTTAGTACTACAGTAGTCGCTTTGATTATATCTTGATTCGAAATTCCGTTGGTGTATTGGAATTTGAGACCACGCAAAACACTATGATACTAATGAAGCTAAGTGACTTTCAGGACCAAAATCTCACTGAGTTACAAAAAATCTTTTTATCACTAATAGTGGTTGTCGATTGCAAGAAGTTTTTTTTCTTGCAGCAAGTCAGATTTTTTTTTTCGAGACCACTGATGGGCCAATATTGTTTTGGACAATCTGCACCAAAACTTGTGCATTTAGTCTTGCAGTAGCAAGTCATTTTTTTCGCGTGCTTTCGACGTGTTGAAGACCCAGCACACAGATAAGTGGGACATCGCGTGCACGACCTTCTGGAAGGAAACGCACTTGTAGCAGGAAACAAGCAGCTCAGGAGGGTGCTCGAACGAAGCGAAACTATACCAGCACACCGTCTACAACCTCCAGTTGCGATTACATTGACGGAGACACTACAGCTGAGGCTACGCGTTTGGCCTCCACTTTGAACGGAACTAACAGCAATGAGTATCACGACGCGCCTGCAGCGACCCATCACGATCAAACCGTTGCTGCACACCCGCTGTTACCATTCGAGTTTTCACGCGCGGATCAGACGCCGCAGATTGGCATTCAGGAGTTGATGTGTAGGCGACTATCGACGGGTAAGAAGGCCCAACTGGCCAGAATTCGTGAAATCCTCAGCAGCGATAGCGATAACGATGATGGTGATGCACAACCGGTATTGAAGACGAATTCTACAGCTCGTCTACAACAGAAACAACCACTATTTCACCCATTTAAACGGAGCCAGCAACTACACCAGAGTCATCGACGTGTGAAGAGCGTACAACCGCCACTATGGCTGCATTACCAGGTTCTTGTCGATGGAAAGACTGCAAAAACGTGTCCAAACCGCAAGGAGAAGCTTCATTTCGCATTTGTAGCAGATCTGGACGCGAATGAGTCGTGCATTCGGCTTGTCTAGCAGCTATGTTGGTTTTGTTTGGAGGTGATACATCGTTTAACCAAGCGGCATGCGGTAAACGATGCTGCAATGCTCTCGTGAAGCTCGCTGTGAGCACGACATTATCCGTTTCGACAGGCAAGAAGCGCGTGATGTGGCATAACGATGGCCTAGCAGAAGATGTTAGCTCTCTAGCTGTATGGATTGACTGGATGACGGACGGAGACAATTATGAGCGGTATCGAGGTGGTGACGCTCAATCCGGAGAGAATTAAATTGCTCTGGCGCAGAAAAATTTGCGCTTAATTTCTTAAAAGGGAATCAAAACTGTTCGAACTGCGAAAGATAAAACGAACAAGATTGCTAGTCTTGAATCCAGCTATCGGTCCGTGGTAGATTTCTTGCATGGCTCTGGCCAAGGGATAACGGATGAGACCTCATTACGTGACAAAATTCTGCAGATATGCCCAGAGTACTACGAACTTCACGACACGATGAAAAGTCGCGTTGGTACACGAGCTCAGCTATTGAATACGGTCCCGGGGTAGTTAAAAGAAGTCACTGAGAGTGACGGGATCAGTTCTAGCAGCGAAAGTGATCGAGCTTCAGATAAACATGCTGACAAGGCAATCTGCCTGAAACCAAATCGCCCCCAGTCTGTTCCAATATCAATCGCTGTGCCTCAAACAGAGAAGTATCAAAAAGATGATTTATCATCACAACACGCAGCTGGTTCATCAGAGAGACTTTCAGCATGCAGAACTCGGTGTACGCGAATAAGAACTTCATCTTCGAGAAAAAGAGGTTTGGGCTAGAGAAAAACAATGAAAAGTGAAAAACTACTGGCGATCGCCCGGGTTGGTGAAGCAAATGCACAAGCAAGCAAACTAAGCGAAGAAGCCGAGCATTGGCGTCAGCAACGGCGCGTTACGCTCCTCCGAGAACGCAAGTAGCTACTGGACGAAGGCGTTTCAAAAGACGAAATTGATTTCCTGCTGCCTCTCGTCTCGGACCTCGAGCATGTACGCTAGAAGTTGGTTTCTGCGTTTGTCACCATTCTCACCTTCCGTGATGGGTTCATTCAACTCGTCGTCGTCGTCGAGCCTACCCGTTATCTGCCTTTCAAATTCATTTTGCCACTGGTGTGGAATGGGCTCAGCAATAAGTAAGTTGTATAGAATACGTGCACAAGTCACGTGGCGAATTAACCGTCGTATGTTTTTGCGCGTTTTGCCCAAATTTACTCGACGTTCACGCAAGTATGGGAATCGCATCTTTAACAGTCCAATGCAGAGCTCGCTTTTTATCCGGGTCTTCGCAAGCTGCTTGTTGAAGTACGTATGACGAAAATTCATCTGTGCCTTAGGTGGATTTTTGAATGCAGGGATCATTTCGGATAATGCTTGGAATGGAGAATCCCCAGCACATATTCATTGTGCTTGAAGTGATCAGCACGCTTGACGATCAAGGGGCTGTTCATCCAAGCACGGTTGTCGTGGGTGGACCCGGGCCATCCAACAACGAGACTTCAAACTCTTCCAACATCATCGCATGTCATCAAGCCGTGGACTGAATACGAAGCTTTTCTGCTAAAATAATCTTCTCCTTGATGTTGCGGTTTTGCCGCAAGCGAAAATAGCGCCCCATCCGTGATTCCAACGCAGTTTACAGAACCATATTTCTGCTGCATCCGTTGCGATATCAAAACCCACTCCACTTCGTTTGGCCATGCCATAGTGACGGGTTCAAGCTTTAAGACGACATTCGTAGCCCGGAAAAGGTAGTTGTGGACGAACCCACTCGCGATTCCAAGGAGAGGCCCGATTTGACGGCTGTGTTGTCATTTCCGTATGTCCCGAGAAACTTAAGTAGCGTTAGCATGTGAAGCTCCGGTCCACCACGAAAGAGCTTGCTCCCCTTCGAAAAGAACGCAGAATCATGCTTCACCAGTGCCACTAGGCGAAAAAAAACGTCTCGGTCAAGTCGAAAATGATCATAAAACTCCGTGGCGTTCAGGTAATCGTGGTCATAGAGTAACTTACGCCATCGAGCACTACGCCAACGATACTTGTTGGGCCGATCAACGTAACTCGATGACAGCAAGAGATCGTACTCCGACTGTCAATGCGCATCTAGTTCATCTGCTGAAGAGTCAGGGTCAGTCAGGAGTTCGCGGTTAGTTGCTGCAACTCCCCGCCTATCTAGGATTCGGTGCAGCTCACGTATCTTCTTCCCACGGGCCGACAAGCGAGGCATTTCTCTCTAACTTGTTGATGTTAAGAAAGGAAACACGGCAAAAATATAAAACTTGCTGCAACTTCAATTTGGGGGTAGTCAATTGGGTCGGCTCTGATTGGTTGTTGATGTTGCTGCTCAAGTGCATGAAAAAAAAATTCTTCTTTCTGCTGCACAATTGACAACCACTATTGAAAACGAGATTTTTTATTTGACATCCGACGTAAAATTGTCGCGCGGAGCCAATGGTGTTGCCCGTTTCTACTTTTTTTTACTGGAACATGTGCAATAGTTAGAATTTTTCCACAGTTTCACTCTAGTGACATTGTGCCATAAGTAGCATTTTGTATTATTTTGGAGACAGGTAACATTTTGATTAAGCCGTCTGTGTCTACTGTGGCTGCAAAATTTTGCGGTGGGGGCGAGGTAGTCGGCGAAGAATTTATGGACTGGACACTGATATCTTCTTGAAAGTCGTTTGACAAATGAGTGGGCTCGTGTAGGTGCGAAAAATGATGGCCCAGCTTTGAATGCGATTATCTCGATAACTCTAAATGGTACATTAGTACCATTTTGTTTTGCGTGGTCTCATATACATGTTCACATTGAATACATTAGGTTAGCGTTCGATATTAATATCATCGATCATTAATACATCAAAGTAATTACCCCGTGCAGCCATTGCACATTTAGTCAAAATTACTAAACAGACAAGCCATATCCGCGCCAGACATGATTCCGATCAGGACATATTCCTGGTCGAACAGGAGGTATACAAAATTAGGTCGCAGACCAAATTGGGATCCTTGACATATATAACGACGATTTTTTACGAACTACGTCCGCTAGAGTAATTGTGAAGGTATAGATGGAGCGTGGTAGCTCTCTTGTTTCGTTTGAGCCCGTATCGTTCCCCAAACAAGCTTATCTCACAAGAATCTCGTCTCCACAAAATCGCCCTTCCGTCCACCACAACCGGAATGGCACTGCCACGAACGTCTGCTTCCAGCATTCCCAAGGGCAATTTATACTTGTATGCAGCATGTGCAGGTGTTGAAGAAGGCATATCGATTCGCAACGCAGCAGATTTGTACAAGGTGCCAAGGGAATCGCTCCATTGAAGGGTGCATGGATACGTTTCTATTAAGTGCAGACGCGGCTCACAGCGCACTTACATCAATGGTGCAGCCGACGAAGGTCTCACCGAAGCGGTTTTGTATCGTGCTGCTCATGGTCTGTCGATGAACACCACTTCTTTCCGGGATTTAGCGCGTAAGGCGGCACTGGCAATCTGCATCAAAGAGGTACCCGCCAACTTTCCGAACTCAAAGTGGGTTCAGCGCTGAATTGAGAGGCACTCAGACGTGATTTCGTTTAGGATTGACCGTATTCTAGATGCTAAGCGGTCTGTTTGCTCCACCGAGGAGAATGTGCGCAACTACTTCAACCACCTATCAATGGCCATGGAGGATCTGGGACTCATGGATTAGCCTGCGCAGATACAGAACTGCGACGAGACCGGTATAGCCGCACAAGGGTTCTTCAACATGCGTGAGCTGTGTCCCAAGGGAATGTCAGCCAATGTGCAGCGCTCATCCGATCCCGAGAATGTGAGCGTTTTAGGCTGCATCAACGCTGACGGAGGGTTCATTCCTCTTCTGTACATCTTCGTGGGTACTCACAGGAAGATGAGCTGGATGAAGAAAGTCCCTATGGACTCGAAGTGTCAGGTTACGAAGTCCTCCAACATAACTAAAAAAATTCTACAGTAGTTAAGCGGTTCGTGGATCTACTGCCCACCGCACGACCTCAGCTCTTCGTCCTCGACGGTCATTTTGCACATATATCACTGGATATAGTGGAGTACGGTGAGAATCACGGTGTTCATATCTTCGTTCTTCCAGCCCACACATCGCACGTTTTTGCAACCACTCGATGTCGGAGTGTTTCAAGCCTTCAAAAGAATGTACAATACTGGCGTAACGCAGCATTCACTACAGCTTAATGGTGCTCTGCCTATCAAAGACGACGTCACATGGATGAGCAAGGAGTCGTTCGAGAAGGCTTTTATTGCATAAAATTTATCCCGTTTTGCGATTCTGGCATATTTCCTGTTTCATTACAAATAATGCTCTGTAAAATGTTGGGAAACAAATCAACCGCCAACATTGTTTTGCTACGCTACCACTCGGTGATGACACCGCATTTTGATGGTGAACCAGGCGATTCACGTACATAAGAAGTGGTGAAGCGTCGGAAGTTGAGGCTTGACACACGTAACGTAGCTCACTTGTCTCTCAAAATGTTTATTGCACCAGAAGCACAAAAACCCTAGCAGCTTTGTAGACGAGAAGGTGTCAGGCGGTAAATTGCTGAGCTACAGCTAGATGGCGCACGCTGCAAAGCTTGAAAAGTAGCGTGTAAAAGAAGCCGCCAAGGAGGAAGCTAAACGTGTCCGACAGGAGGCAAAATCTGAGGCGAAGCGCGCGAAGGATGCTGCCAAGATAGAAGCCAAACGTGTTCGTGAAGCTAGAGCGGAAATGGCGCGTTAAACGTTTTTTGCCCCAAGACTATGAAACGCTCTCTCAAGCACCTTTCTTCGGTGGGGGGCTCGGATTAAGCTGGCAATGTTTGTAGTCATGTAGTGGAGATATGGCCTTTTGACCATACAAATGCGTAGTTAAGTTCATTTGACTAGGAACATGTCCTCATTTCTTATGTGTGACTTGAGCATTAGAATTTTGAAATAGCACCTTAGGTGACCCACTTCATGTCTGATGCGGATACTGTACGTACCTGAAAAACTGAATGCAAAATACTAAATAAATACATCATTGTCATTGCTAATGCAGCTTGTAATCGATGAGAACAATGAATGTTCATGTTGGAAAGGTGACTTGAGATCAAGATTAAAGCTAAAGCTCCCAAACTACGGTACCGTGACGGAACCCGCTTTTGGTTTGTTCGCTCTGTGTTTTGAGCCGCCTTCACTACATAATCCTCGCAACGTACAAGTGATTCTGTTCATGAATGCCATTTTGCGTGTTTGCTCGCTTAGATGTACTTTTGATCCGAAGCGCGTAACTGCTGCGAACCTGGTTCCCGAGGTATTACCACTTTGCTCGCCAACTCAGTCAGGTCCTGGTTTGCTTCGTTTCAGGCGTGAGTGACAAAAGTTAAGACAGCCTGAGGTGGAACACAAGCTCACGCTGCGCCCACAATGACCCATTTGACGACTAATTAATCGCACACTTCAATCTTCGAGTCTTTCGTTACTTAAAATGATATCCATCAAGATGTCCGCATAGTAAACTTCGGACAATGATCGCAACTCCCCTGCCGTCAGCAATCGTGCAGAACGTAGACGTACCAATCTTCGTAACGCGCACCTCACCACCATTCGTAGCTCTCCTAAATTTGTCACAGTCAACCGGATCGCACAGCATGTTTCAGTCCTTCACAAGATGATCGCTATGTCCACTGTCCATACCCCACGAGTCTGAATTTGCGTTCTCCATCGTTGTCACAGCCAACGCGACGCTGGGCGATGCTGCAGCAGCGCCTTTTTTCTTCTGCAAGCAGTTCGCCTTCCGATGCCCGACTCTCCACATTTACAGGGGGTGCGTGCTTCTCCACTGTCAACACGTGCGGCAAGTTCTCGACATCCTACCATGCACAACCACCCGTTCAAGTCCAATTCGCTTCTTTAGTTTCGATCACCGTGGCCACTTTCATAGACGCGATCACCTCGTCCGTGCCCACCACAGCTTCTTTTGCTACTGTTGCTGATGTGCGTGTTGGTTTTGTCCTCGATCGCTAACAAGTCGTGCATTTGTTAGTTTTGTCGAATTAGTGAGGCGCCAAGTCGCTGGATGAACTGTAGCCCCCAAACGTAGGCGTCAGCACCAATACCCGCGTATTTTGTCATATCGAAGAGCATCGAGAGCCCAGTCCAGGTCCCTCAATTTCTGGATTTTGCAAGCCTCGGACGAGCACAGTGGGAGCACTGCTCTCGGAACGAGCACAGGGTAAAAAAAACCTCACGAACAGTGTTCGTGAGGTTTTAAAGCCTCATTCTGTAAATCGGTTTATGGGGGTGAACACGCGTCTTTGTTGACGTGTCCGCACCCTGTATTCTCTCTCTGAGCTTCTGAGT